TGATATGATATTTCAAGTTTTGATGTGATAGAAGTAGTGGAGGAAGAAATATATAGCTTGATTGGGAGGCGTGGGAATGGGGGTGGGCGAGTTGCACATGTTGACGACTGGAGCAGTTCAATATATGCTTCAATCTAGGCAACTTGCATAGATATATCTCTCTCAAACTAGAAAGCAGCTTCATGCCTTCTCCTTCAGAACCAAAATCAAATACTTGTTCCAATTTCTCGCATTCTCCTACCCAAAGCCACTCCAAATGTTGTAGCCTTTGAAGCAAATTGAATGGAAGAAGAACAGTTGATAGTGAAGGACAGCTGTACACATCCAAGCTTCTGAGCTTTAGGAAGCCCACCCAGCTGGAAGTAGTAAGTGCACTTGCTGCGCATATCCCTTTGAAAATAGGCAAATAAGAGAGTTCCAATTCTTCCAGGTTGAAGAGGAATTGCAGATCACGTGGTTGTGCCTGTGATGAAATCCCCCATTCCTCTGTGTTGATCAAGTATTCGAATTGAGAACAATCTACAATCTTTAGACGTGTAGCTCTCTTCAACACCATCTTTAGCCATTTACTCCAATAAACCATGGTTCCAACCAAATTTCCAAGTACCAAATAATTTGGGGAATAATTTTCAACGCTCGCCTCTGAACTCGATTTTCCAATAAAAATAATAAAACTTTCCAGCTCAGGAAAAACAAAGTCCTTGGGTATATCCGCAATGTCAGGTATGGAAATGGTTAGCATTTTTAGGCGAGGCAAAGATCTTAGTGCAGCAACTACTTCCACTGCAGGGTATCCGATACTCGAAGATGTGATGCCAAACAAGTACAACTCCTCCAAATGGAATAAAGGCAATACCATTGTGGCCGGAATTGGAAATTCATGACGGCTTTCAGTCATGTCCAACAACCTTAGATTAGTTAACTCCCTTATAGCATTTGGTGCCTCAGAAAAGAAGGCATGCCTGAAGCTAAGGACTTCAAGCGTCTTTAACTGTCCAAGAAATTTAGTGTCCCCAAACTTAATTCCGTCAAGAACTAATGTTCGAAGACACATTTGGTTATTGAAAGCATCAGGACTACGAATTAAATTGTCAAAATTGTGGCCAAGTTGGCTCAAATCTAAAACACTCAGTGCTTTCATCCTTGAAAAGAATTCATGTGAACATGACCATGCATTTCCATTGTCTTGTAATAGTAATATTTGGAGCTTTGGACATTCCAAGACCTCAGGAAGGTTACTGATTTGATTTCTCATCAACGATATGCCAGTGTATTGATCCAAACTATCCATATTTGGCCAATCTTTCAAATTGCAACCAGCTCTTACAAAATGCTTTTTGGATCCAATAAATATGGCAACATCACGTACGACATCATGCATTTTAATGCAATCTTGTTCATCACTAGCTAATAACAAACAGGAATCTATGAGATTGCTGATCACTGACTTTGCTCTGCCCCTGACTTCTTGCACTGTATCAACATTTTTGAATAATCTCAACCCCATCCCATATCGTACCAAGTCTTCTACTAAGATGTCATCATCCTCGGGAAACAGAGAACAAAGCAAGAAGCAAGCCTTGGCTTCCTCATCTTGCAAGTAATCATAACTCCACATCAGAATTTGATACACTTTTTTATTGACATCTTCAATGTTTGTTGGCAATGATTTTTTTAATTCTTGAGCTGCATTTTTCCATTCTTCAGGGTTAGATTTACCTTTCATTGCCTTTGCAACCGTAACTATTGCTATGGGAAGTCCTCCACATTCTTTACAAACCTCTTTGGCGACATCATTCAACGCAGAAGTGGCAACAAAGTCGCCAACGTTCTTTCTGAATAAGTCCCATGAATCTTGTTCAGATAAAACATCAAGCCGGACTATCTTTGTCTTCTCCCATTCATTTCCCATGGTTCTGCATACTTGCTCACGCCGTGTTGTGATTATGATTTTGCAGCCCTCATGATCTTGGCCAAATGGAATTCCCAAGGTTGTCAATTCAAGTCTGTCCCAAACATCATCTAATATAACAAGGATCTTCTTCACGTTCTTGAGTCTTGCCCAAAGCGCGCTTGTTCTTTCAATTTCACTCATCTGATTAGTAAATTTGGTGCCTAACATGACAGCTATTTGATCTTGAATCTTTTTAATGTCTGCATTCTGAGACACTACAGCCATCACAACTTCATCAAAAAGCTTATCTGATTCAGCTTTTTTCCCAATTTCTTTTACTAAAGTTGTCTTTCCAACGCCCCCAATACCATGTATTCCAATAAAGTTGATTTTGTCGTCACGCAGTGCCTGCATTACATTCATCATTGCCAAATTTGTGGTCTCGTAAGCCACGAGCCTTTCTGAGGGTACGGACTCCATCCCCAAGGGAGGTGCTGGTTTGGATATGTTACTAAAGTAGCCATTTGTTTCTAGCTCTTTAGCCTCCTCTGCTTTATTTTTTGCTTCTTTACCTAGCCGGCGACGTGTGACCAAATCAGGAAACCACCCATTGAAACATTTCTGGTTCACATTAGTACCATCTTCTAGTAACTTTTTAGCATCTATGAACCTATCGACTTTTTCAATCCAAATCTTGACAGTTTCTAGAATTTCTTCCCCATTCCTTTTTGCTGCATCAATGATGTCTTCTACGTCTTTTCTCCGAGCCTCTAACTTTTTAACTTGGTCTCTCAAATCTTCAATGTATTTCATTCGATAGAAGACATAACCGAATTGACGCCCAACTGGCTCCACCAATAATTCAACAACTTTTCCCCCAATGGAACCTCCAATGGAAATCAGAGCATCAAGGACAGGCATAGCCACGTCTGATGACAAACAAAGCAATACTTCAACCTAAAAAAAAAAAATGATATTGTACTATTGGCATTAATTAACTATCTGCATGGTTGCTGATAAAATAAATTAATATATGGGAAGTTGCGAGCCAGTCCTATATAGTGCACTTATTTATCAAAATAAAAATGTTAGATACCTCAAATTCTACTAAAAATTCTATCAAATGTCTCACATTTCTAACATTACTCTTATCAAAAAAGTCCTACTCCAATTTTTATTATAAAAATATTTATAAAAAAAAATATAATTTAACTATTTATACTTCTCACATCATATTTCAACACGAACCAACTCAAATAAATTAAAATTAAATCATAACTCACAAATAAAAACTCAAATACTTTTGGTTATGACTTAATTATAACTCATTATAATGTTAGTTGTGATTATTATTTTGGTTATGACCGTAAAGGTCTTTAGTTATTCCTTAAGTGGTATTTGGTTATGACTTATTGAGTTTTTTTAGTTATGACTTCCACAAATATCATAACTTGTATATGATACACGTCAAAGAAAAATTTATATTGTAGACTGACCCTACTTAAGTAGATACATATTGATATACACAAATATAATTCGAACAAAATTTATAAAGTATGATTTTCAAAATATATACTTATATTTTGTAACGTATATTGCATTGGTTAACTGCTAGTAACATATCATAAACTTTATGGGTGAGACAATTTTGACCCATCTTTGTTAGTTGAGAGAAAAGAATAATCTATTTGATATATTTTGGAATTATTTATTTGTTAAGGGCACCACATAAACAATATCAAAAGAATCTCTAATACTACCTAATAATTTTTCGATATATATATACTAGTGTATGCCCGTGCCTAAATGCACGGTATAAATAATAATGAGATCAAAATGTAATTAAATATAAAATTATTGGATTAAAATATAATTATTTAATTTGCTACTAAAAATTTAAAGTCAAAATATGAATAGAAATCTAATTAGTTTTTCTATATTCTATCTTGATAAAGGTTATGGACAAGTTTATTCAAAATGGTGCGGTATCAAGTGGTATATATGTTACACGTCACAAATAAACTATTGTATGGGATTAATGTTGCAGATTTATTTTAGCAAGGCCTTAATGCCTTAAGTTACAAGTATAATGTTTATGTTATGCTAATGACCACTTTTTAAAATGAAGAAGAGGCCCTACTTTCTTGTAGTAAGAGTAAATAAAACAAGAAGCGCACTTAGATCTTGTCTTCTCGCTTCTCATACTATTGTAGTAGCTTATAATACTTATCTCAAACAGCGAAGAGATGTTTGAAAAAACCTCTGTATTATGATTTAGTTTGGCAGGAAAATGAGGAACACTGCTGGAAGTGGATCATTATACTTATCCTATAGAGCAAAGAGGTGTTTGAAAAATCCTATGTATTGTGATTTAGTTTGCAGACTAATGAGGAACACTGCTGGAAGTGGATCATTCCCACTGCAATTGTGGATACACTATCACAAGCATGAATTGTTTAATGTTGAACTTGTGCAGTTTCCTTCAATTTGGTATGACCATACTCTAATGTTGAACTTGTGCAGAGTTAAAATGTGTTTTTGGTTCCACAATTAATTGAGGTAGAATTTCACTTGTCTTGCAGAATTATTATTTATACTATGTGATGCAGTACCAACATAAACATATATGTAGTTATTCCCCAACGCAAACTGAACAATGCAATTGAGCTGGTAAAAATCCCATTAACAAAGTTGGCTTTCCATTGGCTGGAAATTAAACATATCAGAATTTAATAATTAGATAATGTAAACATAATTATAGAGCTTTAGGAGGGATGGTGGTAGTAAAGATATCTAAGCTTTCAAAGGGGGGCATTGATTCTAGAAACCCAATTGGGAAATTTATAGTTTTCTTGGTTTTTGAAATTTATGATTGTTTTGTATCACCACTTACATAGATACTCACAATTGGTTCCTTGTTTAAAATTAAGTATTAAATAAATAATGAAGCCGAATAATAGTTTACCATGTATCCCTTGAATCCTTGATATAACATGGTGAGGAAAACATTGGTGAGATATAGATAATTTATCTGTCTACTAGTTTGTTTTTAACTAATTATTTATTTTGTCATGTGATGAATATTGAAGCCGAGTTTTCTTTGTTCTTTTTTTCTTTTTTTTTGACTTGGACAATATGGGACTATTTTTGGAACAATTTAGAGCTATTTAATTATTTAGTTAATAGCCGTGGATCACTCTTTCAAAGGGTTTATAGAGCTAAATTTTCCTTAATGGCTCCTTTATGGAGGGAAAGGCGATGAGTAATTCGTCTTGGGTTTGGCATGGGTTGTTGGAGGGGAGGAAAGTTATTGAAGCAGGTTGGCGGTATAGAGTTTTTAATGGGAAAAGAAGCTCAGATTTGGTCAGACCTTGGCAATCTGATCCTTATAACCGTTGAACCATACCTAGGATGCCCAATGATTGCCTGGTATCTAAAGTTGCTGATCTTATTGATAACGGAAAAAATGAATAGAAAGTTGACATTGTGAGAGTAGGAAAAAAAAAAAATTACAAAGGGATGCAGTGATTCTTAATGGGTTCTTCTCTGTTAGATCAGTGTATGTTGTTGCCAAAACATTATCGTATCAACAGAGCTAGTGGCAGTGATGGACAACTGGTGAATTGGAAGACTCTAAGATAAAATAAAGAATGTTCATCTGGAAATAACTTAAAGGAAAGTTCCATTTGGCGAAATGTGTGCAGTATGTGGACTTGAGCCTGAAACTGTTATCCATCTGATTTTAAGATGTCCTAGAGCATTAATGAAGGTTTGGTAGTTGTTGCCATTTTGGATCGTACATGAAAATCTCTTGGAATATTGAGTTTGCAAGTTGGTGGAAGAATATGGGGGATTTGATCAAAGGACCAGAAAGGGCAGAAATTATAGATCTGTTGGGTTGTATCTGCTGGTTTATTAGGAAAACCATGATTAGGTGTTCAACAACAAATGTAGAGAGTTCGACAAAATTGTTCCGTAAGCTGCAGAGTACTAGCAAGCGTATGTTCATGACACATTGACTCAAACGCAGAGGTGATGATTCAATCATGGCAACCCCAACGATTAGGTCTAATTGTTTTTGCTTTATATTCCTAGCCTCTCACCGCTTTCTATGCCAAGTCTATTTGTTTTCCCTGTTGTGAGGTTTTTGGCCTGCCCGACCTTGTCTACGTCTACATGAGCCATTTGGACAGTGTCTTGAACTTGATTGTATATTCTTGTTTTGGTAATTAAACACTTACTTACCCAAAAGGTGACCTAGGACTTGTGCTAAGAAATACAATCAAGTTGGGCTCATCATTGACAATACCTTGTGACTTGCTGCAAATATTCAAAATTGTCCTTTTTGTTTTGTTTCTAGAGATTGTAACAGGAAGGCTCATAGAGTAGCCAAGTATGCCCAACTTTGGGGTCTCACTATTCCTGGGTGGGAATCAATCCTAGTTGGGTTACTATGGAAGTTTCTCTGGGTTGTAGGTTGTAATGACCAATGATTTCATCAATAAAATTTTCCTATCTATTGGCCAAATAAACAAAATAGTGGTGAAGACAAGATATTGCCTATGGGATTATAATGTAGTGATTCCTATTAGTGGTTAAATTTTGATGTGGTAGCTTTCTATAACTGACAAACCCCATGTCCTTTTAATGGGATTCTTTTTTGCAGATTGTTTTGTTTTCACTCTTTGTATTTGTTTTATCTTCTTTTTTTTATTTTTTATTTTTTTTATGTTTTCAAAATAATAATAATAGAATAATAACGAGAAGTTTGAAAAACCATCGCGCTCTCATTTTATTTCTAAATCCTGTTTTTGAGAATTCAAAATTTAATTATTATTTTTTTTGAACTTTTTCTAAAAGGGGGTGTTTTCAAAAAAAGATTTTGAAAATAGTATATCAAATGAGTTTTCTTTTTACTTTTTTTTTCCTTCTTGTTTTTTGAGAACAGAAAATTGTTTTCAACAACAAAATCAAATGCACACATTTTCTAAATAAACAATTAAAATCATAAATGTTTTAAATCTTGAAGAAATCTATGGTGTGCAACCTTAAAAAGAGAGACAATGCAATAAAATTAAAATTTTTTGCGGTGAAATGAATCATATATGTACATATCATATACTAACAATACTGTTAACCATTTGTGGTGAGAAATATTATGAATCTTTTTGGAGAAAAAAATTACAAATTCTTGTGATGTTAGTTATGAAACGTTGTGGTAATATTATGTATGTTGTGGTAGGGAGGGTGTACAAAATATGCACCTTTTCAAGGGTTTACACTGTAGCAGCTATCTTAAATCATTTAAAAGACTATAAGTTTTCCTTCTGCTGTTCCCTCACTTTTGTTGCCAAGAAAATCATGTACCATAGCTAGGAGCTACTAAAGTTGATTTCATTTATTTGCTCAAAATTCATGTGTCCCAACACAAAATGTAGTAGTCAAAAAAATAAATCAAGCTTAATCCCCCATTTGATGGGGGTCTGAGACGAGTAAATTGGATATAGACCTAACATTTGGCATAATCAATTTTTTTACCTCTTAAAAATATTTGTACATGTAAACTCACTCAATACCCTAAACCAAGTAGAAAAAAACAGGCTAACGTATAGATATTGTATATGATGCATAAATTATTGACATAGGGGAAGTTAGAATTTTTGGTGTACCTCTCTTTCTGTAAACAATTAAGGAGAAAGACAACTGTTGCTGTAGGCTTCACAATGGAGATGGAGAGGGAGATGGAGACATCAATATAAACATACACAAAAGCCTGAACCAATCAAAATGATAACATGTAGAGATTGTATATGATGCATAAATTATTGACATAGGGGAAGTTAGAATTTCAAGCGTACCTCTCTTTCTGTAAACAATTAAGCGAAAGACAACTGCTGTTGCAGGCTTCATAATGGGGATGGAAATGGAAATGGAGATGGAGATATCAATAGACATTCTACATATGTTTAAGAAGAGGGAAAACATTTTTTTCTTGGTTTGATGTATCTAGCACAATGTTTGATTCTTTTCTTCTAGGGAAGAAAGGTGGCAAAGAACATATACCAGCTCCTCTTTTCTCTTTTCCTTTTCCTTTCAATATTCTCTACTTTTCCTCAGAAAAATGTACAGCTGCATTCAAAGCATTTTCATATTTATAAGCACAGTGTAACGAGAGTATGAGACTCCCAATTGGGTTGCCCACTCACTTGAAGGACCTTACATTCCTTGCATGCTGAAGAAGTTTCACGGATAAAAGCTCAATGACATGGTTAGCAGTGTTTTTTAATACATCATCCAATATAAAAATGATCCTCTTCACATCCTTGAGTCTTGCACATAATATATTTGATCTTTCAATCTCATTTGGCCAATCAGTTAATCTCAAACCCAACATGTTTTCTATTTAATCTTGAATACTTTTAATGTCTGGGTGCCAAGACACTATAGCCATCATCTCATAAAAAAGCTTGTCTTATTTAGCTTCCTTTTTTCTTTTTCTTTTTTCTCCGATTTTTCTTACCAAAGCTGTCTTTCCAACATCCCCCAATACCATGTTTTCGATGAAAATGGTCTTGCCATTAAAAATGAACAAATTTGTGGTCTCATAAGTTACAAGCCTTTCAGAGGGTATGAATTCTATCCCCAATATGTAGAGTGGATATGTTATTAAAATTGCCTTCTTTCTATAGCATTTTAGCCTCCTCTGTTTTCTATTTTGCTTCTTTTCCTAGCTAGCAACATGTGACCAAATCAGAAAACCATCTTATTAAACACTCATTCTCATTAGTTCCATCTTTCAGAAACTCTTTAGCCCTTCATATGAACTCCTTTAGCTTTTCAATCTGGTGCTTGGAATCTTCTCAATTCTTTTCTCTAATTCTTATTGCTAGATAAATAGATCCAGAAACCCTATCTCTTAGAGCCTCAAATGTTTCAACTTCGCTTCTTCGACTGTCAACTTATTTCTTTTGATGAATGACATAATTCAATTAACGCTTAACTGGCTCCACCAATAATTCAACAACTTTTCCTCTGATGGAAATTAAAATGTCAGCCACATCTGAGTAAAAATATTGAACAAGCAACACTTGAAAATTGTTAGAATATTAATGTTATTAATAACAAGAAAACTTGTGTTTGGATCAATTTCTTAAACTTAAATCTTTCTAAGGTAGCTGAAGGATATGGAAAAGTTTGAGCAAAATAGTGTGGGATTAAGTGGTATATATGTCACATCACTCAGAAAAACTAATGTATGGCATGGGATTAGTTGTTCATATTTAGAAAGGCCTGTACAAGTTTAATATAATGGAAATGAGGAAGATAATCTTTCAGGCCTATAATTTGCAATAAGACTACGAAAACAGTGAGGACAATTATATATTAGTCCTTCTCATACTATTCTAGTAGCTTATAATACTTAAAACCTATAAAGCAAAGAGGTGTTAATTGCAGATTGAGCAAGGAGTGATGATTGTCGTGGTAGTGGTGTGTAGTGGTGGCAGCAACAGTGATGGTAGGGTGGTGGAGGCGGGGGTAGTAGGTGCGATGTTGGCAATGGTGGTGGTGGTAGGGCGCTGGTATGGGCAGTGGTGGTGCTAGTAAGATGGTGGTGATGTTGTATGTCTCATTAGATCCTGAAAAATGTTTTTTTACCCTTTTTGAAAAACGAAAAACATTTTCCATCCAAATTAGTTAATCTTTTGTTGACAACCGAAAAAAGTTTTCCATTGACTTCTACTTTCCAAAAATAACATTTTCCATACTAAATGCTAGAAAATGCAAAATACTTTTTTGCCAAAACAAACTGAATATTTTTAAAAAAAAATTCATTTTCTTTCTTTCTTTCTTTAATTATTTATTTTTGACATGGACAAATATGGTGTTATTTGAACACATTTCATCTAAAAGTATTAATTATTAGACTGATACATAAGACTTAGTTTGGTATGATTTGCAAGCAAAATGTAACAGTCCAGACATCAACAATAGCGATCTCTAAAAAGCAGTCCTCCTTTCATGAGATATCATCTGTATCCGTTTGGAATAATGCATCTAGAATCTATGTACCCTAACAGGAAGAAAAGGTTGAAATCCTCCCTCACATACAAATATTTCCGGCACCTTTTGTTAGAACAATCTTTTGTGTAAAATAAATAAATTGAAACAAATCAAACAAATAAAAATAAATTACTTAAAGAATTTATTTTACCGAACTGAATTTAAAAGATCAAGTCGAGTGGGTGACACTCTGTCCTTAAGATAAATTCGCCCCGCTACGGTGCTTACGGATAAAAGGCGTCTATTTCCTAGGATACAATGATCTTCACAAATTGTAGTAGCACTCCAAACAATTTGTACGGCGAACAAAACCTATGTTCTATACTCTCTTTAATTTTTTCTAAAACGATATGAAGAATATAAATGCAATAGAGTAAAACTGGACAACAAAAAAGAATTTTTTCCAGACTGTTTTTGGATGCACAAGACTGCTGGAAATGGCCTCTGTTTATAGGCAAATAATCTGTTCGAATTCAATTCAAATTTTGAATAGATCTGCTGTAACGCCCTCAAAATAATACATATAAACCCACTTTCAAGACATCCATAAACATAAGAGAATAAAGCATATTTCATTTATCAGAGTATTCATTACAAAAGTATTACATGTTGACAACAAAAGTAAATGCCTACGGGCTTACAACTTTCCAAGCCAACACTTGGTTACAAAAAGAGAGTACTAACTCAGAACACATTAAGCCCTTAGCTTGAATTTACATGTAATACCAAAATAACAAAAAAACAACAAAAAGAGTCTTCAACTCCCAGAACCTCCCAAGCTACGTCCTTGGAGGTAGCATATCACCTGAACCTGAAAATGATGTCCCATATAGGGTGAGCCAATGCCCAGTAGAGATATACTAAACCAAGTATGAGAAATAGCTAAAATATTAGCATTTGATAAATGGTTAACACTTGTAAACCAACTTACAACACATTCCAGTTCAATGACAAATACAACTGTTTTTCATTCCACTTTCCTTTACTTATCCAATTCAGATTCATAAGCATGGCTAATTATCTAGCCCAGCAATTTCATGAGACTATAACTCATATTAAACACTTCCATTATCCACAAATCAAATGAAACTACATCTCATATTAAACACTTCCACACTTCAATTATCTACGTTATGCAAACGTAATTAAGATTTTGGGACTTTCACCCTGTACACTCCGGCCAACTTGTTATCAATAAAGTCCATCCCCTATCTCCTCCCAAACAGGTTTGCGAGTGCATCCCCTATTTCCTCTCAAACCATGGAGTACATCCCCTATCTCCTTCCACACAATATACATATACAATGTATTTAAACACTTATCATATACAATGATCAATCAATACACATATTCGATGTATTATTCCAACCGTCATATTCAATGACATATTCTAGGTGATTAGTTTCAATTTTCCCTAATCAACATACAGTGTCTACAACAATCAAGACTATCCTCCACCGATAGCCCAAAGCAATTATCTCTAAATAGATAATAAATTTATCAAACAGATAAAACATCAACATTCTCATAGGTGAGTGATTTATTTATCCAACTACACTATTTAATCCCATAAATTCCCAATTTCATGATTTCCAACACAATTTCATATTTCTCCAAATTAATTATTTAAATTAATTATTCGACACATTTAGGGCATCTTCCATTCTTTTTCAAATGTCAACCCTAAGGTTCAATTTTATCAATGTAACAACAATAATTCCATTTTTCCAAGGTCTCACATACATATGAGGTTTAACAATTAAAACCCTCTTTTTATAACTTTAAAACAAACCCTAACCTTCCTAAAATTACCAAACAACACCACCTGATCAAAATGACTAAAATTTATGTCAAAACTCATAAGATGGAGTAGGGTATCCCTACCTCAAATGAAGAGACCAAAAGGAGAAGATGAAGAAAACTCGAGATGCTCCAAACCCAAAGATTTTCGGATCAAATGGTAGCCCAGACCAAGTTCTATCTTTCTTACAAAGGGATTAGGGTAGGAGACTCCTAGAACATGGAGTATTTATAGAGAGAAGGTATGTGTAGAGAAAGAGGGAGCCGGATCTAGGGTTTGAGATGTAAAGTGGATCAAAAAGTGATGAAGGAAACTGCTGCTGCGATCTGATATATTCGAGGCTCGCTCGAGCGAAAAAGTGATCGCTCGAGCGACCAGACACAAAGAAACCTCGCTCGAGCGCAGAAAGCCTCGCTCGAGCCAACAACACGAAACTTCAGGTCTGCAACCCAGAAGCACGCTCAAGCGCAAGAATGCTCGCTCGAGCGAAGAAACCCAAAACATAGTCCTCGCTCGCTCGAGCGAAGGAAAGCTTGCTCGAGCCTAGAAATGCAACCTTCAGGTCCAAAACTGGACGCAGACGCAAGCTTGAGCGCAAGACTTCTCACTCTAGCCAACAGACACACCACTCAACTCTCGCTCGAGCGAAGGAATCCTGGCTTGAGCGAAGGAACTAAAACACAGAGCTCGCTCGAGCGAAGACACCAAAAACTGGGCAGCAACCTTTTGTTTCTAATCACAACGAACCTGTTACAGACTTGCCCAACACATCCTAAAACTCATATACAAATAATTAAAGGACGGAAATGAAACATATGCAACAACCGACATCCACGAAACCGAGTCCGGAATACAACAACAACTGGAGGGAAAATCGGGATCGCTATATCTACAAACTGTTTGGCAATTTTAAAACTGCTCGGAACTGCTGGCATTTTTCCCAATCTGTTGGACAGTTGGCCTGAGTGTCCGGAGTGAAAGACCGAAAACACGCGCGGAGGAGGTACCACTTCCCTTTCGGTGAGAGACCGGTAAAGTGGGGTTTAGTAGTGCTAGTGATGCCTACTTGCAAACACCGACCTAGGGATTACCAGAGTTGCATTTACCGCCCCTTGAATAAAATTGATAAATGTTGAACAGTTGAAATTGCATGACATCATTGAGCATGATGGTTTTCAAAAGATGAAGATGTGTTTTATATTCAAAAGGGCATGGCATGGCATATGCATTCATCTCTTGAGACTTGTATAAAATGTATATACTTTGTTAAGGATTTCCTATTGGGCTTTATGCTCACCC